ATCATCTGGTAAAACACATGGCTAATTTGCATTCTTTTATATTTTCATTTTGTTTGATATATTTTAATTTCTTCGTGTTCAAAATTGCACTCTAAAAAAAGGTTTAAACTTATTTATAAGACATTAAATTTCATCTTCACTTTTTCTTTAGGCCAGGGCTTCCTGAGCTGCTTGTGTCCACTGTAAAAATAACATCAACAACCACTGAAAAAAAAGTTGCATCGATTTTATTGTATCGACTGCTCAACTTGCTCATGCTGTTTACTAAAACACGATAAATTGCGGAAGTTATTGTTCTAATGGAACACCAAAAAAAACCAAGCGTGCGCGAGATACCAACGTAATTATAAAACACCAAGAAAAACCAAGCGTGCTTGATATTCCAACGTAAAAATCGAACAGCTAGGAAAACTAAAAGTGCACGAGATAAATATAAACATAAGGTACCAAAGAAAACTAAAAGTGTGCGAGATACTAACATAACCATCTGACACTGAGAAGATATAAAAGTGCACGAGATGTTAAGATAACAATCTGACAGCAAGGGAAACTTAAAGTGCACGAAACTCTAACGAAACGATCCGCGACATACACGGCTGGAAATTAATGAACAGTAATGGCAAACGCAATAGGAAAATTTGGACTGTACAACATAAACATTGAAATCTCATTAACTTTTACGCTTTTGTGGGTTTAATGAATTTTCCTTTTTACTCATATCCTCCATGCTCACTTCTCCATTGGTTTGATTTTCATTTAAGAAAATGTGGGATTGCTGTTTGTAGGGCTGGTAAAATCTAAATATTCCCAGTTTTTCATACCTAAGGGTTGAGGGTTTTCACAGTTCGGAAAGACACCACTGAGATTTGAACAAACATCACATTTTGTCTGAGCACTGTACCACCAGCCCCCCTATCTTTGCAGAAGGAAGGATCTTCGTCCCACGCGCCAAACGAGCAGCCCTTATAGGGACCTAAAGAATCCTTAGGAACAGTTGCATTTCCTTGGAAATAAAATTAGCACAAATTTCAAGACAAGTTGCGGGCCTTAAAGTCCAACGATCAAAATATATCGTTAAATTTCACACAATTGCCTACAGACGTCAAATTAGCATTCGGTACTTCAGGGATTGTTTTACAATGGACTGGAATAGTAAAATACGGACTATCGAAAGTAAAAGGCGATAAAACAGTCTCATCATCTCATTTCCAACAAAACCTGCCAGTCAGAAAACGTGTCTGGATCCTTTTGTCAATAACTTTTCTTGCAGCAGATTCATGTATATAGCGCTCTTTAAAAAGGTTTCAGCGGTGGTTATCAAGATCCTTTCCACGGTCGCTTAACTTGTACTTTAAACGTTTAATTTAACTGATATCACCAATGTTCAGGCGGTATTCCATTGTCTCGTCTCCAATTCCAACCAGTCATACTCAACATAAACGTTTTTGCTGTTTGGTACATCCAGCTCTACTCGAAGCCTATTTTCTGTCTTACTGCCCGTCAAGCGGCGGATCTAGTCCAGTCCTTGCCAAAACTCACCAATTAGGTCACCAAAGCCATGTTTGTACTGAGTCAGCCCAGGTGCGTGCAGTCTTCTCCGAAACAGTGTCCACCCCCCACAGGATGTTGTCTGGTCACAATACAGATCGAAGGCACCTCACTCATCATTGTATAAACGCCGCTGACTCTTTGTCCAGATTTGTGCAGCTCAGCACAGTTTCTAACTGTCAGGGGCATTAGAGAGAAAGAGGATAGCAAATACAGTTTTAGCATCTTGAATTGGTGAAGAAATAACAGTATAAACAATGAAATTTGGAAAGCTTCTTTACAAGTTTGTAAATTAGTCTCACAATTAGCATTCAGCACCGCTCTTTAATGCAGTAAAAAAATCAATATAACTCCTCCAACCGCACGCACCATCATTAAAAGTAATCCCTGTTGAACAGAACCCGTATATTTTAGCCCGCCAAATTTTCCATTTTAGCATACTATGAAAGCTCACTCCAGCTGAAGGCTCCTACGATCATTCATAGAGTGATACAATTCGTGAATGAAAAAGGCACAATTGCTTAAGCCGTAATGTTAATTCCTCTTAACGTAATAGTTCTTTCAAAATGTAGACTCTTTAGAGAACAATTTAGTCAGAATCTCTTCTGTAGTGCATGTTAACTTCGGTTTCTCAACGCTTTCAAACACAAATCAGAACAAAAACCAAAAAGTCGTATACCTCCTTGTCTTCGATTATCAATCATATCGATTCCCCAGGGATTGAATCTCGCAAAACATTGTTAAAAAAAACCGAGCTAGACTAAAACACACTGAAAAACATTTAGACAAAGAGACAAAACAAACAAATCAAATGCAAATGCCAAAAACAAAAAAAAAGGGAAAATAACCAGAAAACAATCAAAAGTATTAAGGAAAAAAATTGACTATGGTCGTCAAAAATAGCATTAAGATAACCTTTCTATCAATCATATAGTTTTATCTATAAAGGTAAAGAACAGTAACGAATATTTGTCTTCAAAATCTCTTTTTGGGTCAGTCACAGAAAATAGAAACGATTGATGATTGTTCCTGCTTGTTTAACAATTATGGCAGTAAGCGGTTTAGAAACTTGGCTGCACATAATTGGGTCGATGAGCACCGAGATTTTGCCACTACCAGGCTGGAAATTGTCCTGAATAATTTGCAAGCATTTATTTTCATCCTCGAAATGACATTCGCAACCTTAATGACATTATACAAATACATTCATTTTCAGTTCTGTAGGTCAGAAGTTTATTCATATGAGTTTGCCCGCGCTTAGCGCTCACCGAAATTCATTTGCATATAGCAACTTCTTTATTACGGCTAGGTATACGGTATATAATTCTCACAAACTGGCGGCGAAGTTATGAGAAAAAGTTATGAGAAGTCATTTCATACACATATATTGATCCTTCAGCATTTCACTTGATAATTCTATCTGTTTATAAGACTTGTCTCATACATAATACTTTTTATGATATAAATTTAGCTTAGTTGTAAGAATTTTGTTTTTACCCCCGTGTCACTTTCATACTGTTGGTAAGAAGTCATTCAGATTTTTTTCAGTGAACTCTTTTACCCCTTAGATGTAATTATCAATATATCCTCACTGTCTCCCATACATTTCTTTAAATTTTAGCTTGAAGAATTTGGTTTTTCATCAAACAAGTCCTGGGCAGTATACTTTAATTGATAAATTTTCTTCGCATTACCTTTATGCTTGTTACTGTTTTGTAAAGATAAATTACTTATTGATCACTTCTGGGAGTGTAAGGGTTAATATTGTTGAGGGAAAATGATATGCTGAAGCTTTATCCTTCATATCCACAGTCATCTTCATTCTGTGACGTGCATATCAATAACTAGAGATTAATAGATTTGTTGAATAAAGGTGTTTGGAGGTAGGAATTCTTATTACCTAGTTTTTCAGAAGGGGGGTTGTAGCAGGTTATTCACTCTTCAAAAATTGTGGAAATTAAAAAAATTAAATATTTTTTAGCCCTGAAATTATCATGAAAAAAATGAGATCAAAAGTGTTGAAAAGAATGAGAAGCAGTCTCAAATGGTACGTTTTTCTATGCTGCAACAACAGAAATGAAACCTGAATTTGGTGTTTTCCACTTAAGCAAAAATTCCATGGAAGATTGCACTGATTGGGGTAAAACTTAACCTTTTTACTCCCATGGGTGACCAAGGCAGCGTTTCTCCTTACAATATCAATACA